CCAACCCAAGCCCCCTTCCCGCCCCCACCCCTCTTACACACATGGACTCAGAAGCCACGTACCATAATTTCATACAATGACAACAATTTTTGTTGTAAAGTACCAAATCATGAACAGTTCCAGTACTGCCACTGTGTGTAAAGAGTAAAGACATCGTCACATCCGAACGTTCCTCAAATCAATAATTGTCAGAGTTTTTGGGAATGATAAAATGTTATGTTTAGAACAAGTCTGTGCTCTCACACCTCATGTGTTTTCCAGAAAAACCTTCAGCTGTGTCTTGTGACCAGCCACGCTTCTCGGGAGACAACTCCTCTGTGTCATTGACGTGTGAGACGGACAGAGTGTACCCACAAGCTCTGTGTCAGTTCTACTGGAAATTATTGGCCGGGGTGAGTACAGGCTTGGAGCGGTGATATTAACTCATGTAGTCATGTGACACGCACATAATTTGATAACTGGATAGGGAACACTTCTGACCCTGATAAATCAAATGTCTTGTAATCCTAGCAGCTTATAAACTGGCGATAAAAAACATCCCACTTTTGATTGAGCAGAAAATCAAGTCTTGTGAGTCCCCACGTTTTTCCCTTTCTCATGACTAATACTAAGACTCAAAAAAGTAGACTTTGCTATAAAAGTAACATTGTAGTGCTTCACTTCGTGTTCACGGCACCCAAGTTTTAAAAAAAAGGAAATAGACATGTTTGTACCGACCACGTGGCGGATTTGTTCTATTCTTTGACATTTTCATGAAGGTTAGTTCTGGGTTTACCAAAAGCGGCAACATTTGATCATTGTCACCTGAGAAAAATTGTGAGATTAACTCAACATCAGAGAAATCGGGCCATCAGCATGCTCTACGCGAATCCAAACGTTTCTGCGGTTACCAGGATTTTCAACATCAGCTGACTGACGGTGGCTGACGGGTAACAAGTCCAGGCAGGTGTCTTGTGGATCAAAGATTCTACCCAACAAGATGGTTCACTCCTCTCTGGAGCATTTACAAATGCGTCCTCCAAATCAGGGTGGCTCAACAACTGACATTGGAAGTGTAGGGAAAATACTACGGTAACATCGGTACATGTGTTGCTCACAGGACCTCCAAGTTTTCTCGTCCTTATTCCAGAAGGCTTGGTATTATATCTTACCTACCTTAAGATCAGGGGTGTGGCTGAAAGACAGCAGTAAGAAGGAGCCAACGAGTTGCAGAGAAAGGCAGTAGAAAGAGTCACTAACTCAAAGGGACAAAACGGGGGGAGGAGAGAAGTTGGAAACGAAAGCAGAAGACAGAACATGTTTAGAGAGTAGTGGGACAGGAGGTGAAAGGAGAATATTAGAATTTTAGAGGGGAAAATTTCCTGTCGCTGTTAAGTTTCGAACCTGGGACTTGTTGAATGAGAGGTGAACTCCGTAACCGCTAGAACACAAGACCCCCTCCCCCACCACCCCCACCCCAACACACACACATTGTTTGATGCATATACACTGAGATTTTGAATGATTAGTACACTGTACAGAAATAATGGTGTTTGGTACCAGTATTACTTACAATGGAAGTTGTTAAGGGACTGCTGCAGTCTTCTAGCGCTACCCACTGGGGGCCAGTACAGTACAGTCTCCATAAAAGACTGCAAAGAAACAACCTTTGACCTTTGAGTCGAGGTCAACAAGCCAACGATGAACCCCAGAGGAGTCACATTTTTTTTCTTAATTTTCTGCCGCTGTACTGCCTCGTCTATGTCTACCTGGGTCTATGCTACGATTTCAGTGTGCATAGTGTTGGTAGTAGTAGTAGTAGTAGTAGTAGTAGTAGTAGTAGTAGTAGTAGTAGTAGTAGTAGTAGTAGTAGTAGTAGTCATCAATG